TTGCACAATTTTAATTTTCATCTTAGTCCTACTTTCATGGGAATGAATAGCAATGACGTTTATGTGTAACTGTTTGTAATAATTAAGAATGATTAAGAAACCCTACACCCACGTACAGTCTTGCAGATTAGGCACCCACATATCACATTCACCTTCGTCGGATTACGTTTATCATTAAAATCGTATCCCGACCGAAGCTGCTACCTTGACGCGGTGGTCGGGCTTGCCTATCGTAATGACCCAACCGAGCTATATTGGCTGGAGCATATTTTCCTGTAGGTTCTACCATGCCAGGCAGGTCGATTGGAGAACGGTAAGACTAAAAGCAGCAACCCAAGGTCTGAGGGCGAAGTCGTACTGCTGACTGTAAAGAGGTGTGACAGCAGCAAGGTGTTTCCGTCGGACAACCAACATGACAGCGATGCTGCCTTCCCACAAGGAGGGGTGGGGTTAGAAAAGGTCGACCCTAAAAATGTCACACCTCACCTTACCTCACGGATTTCCGTCTCCGGCGGTAAGGCCCTTTGAAGAACGGAGCTAACACGTCAAAAACCTTCCACGAAAAGGCCGTGCGCGACCGGCCTCAGGCATTTGTCCCTTGGGCTCTGCGGTCACGCACCCAGGTCGTTAAGACCAACACTAATCCAATTTCCTTTTCAGGTTCCTAAGAAATACCCTTCCACGGTGTGGGCAGCCGAGAAGTGACATCAGCCCTCATACCCGTAACAGCACAAGAGACCAAGTTGGTCACATTCAAATCCTTCCTACACCTCCTAATACCTCTCTTATCTCCATGACTAACCCTCCTCACGTCTCTTTATCACCTCGCACCGCTAGAGCAAACGATTCGAGCACGGGGGACGCCATTCCTGGTCTCCTGAAACCACGCTCTAAACTACAGGTAGGAGCTTTTAACGTACGAACACTTTGCCAAATAGGACAGCAGGCTTCCTTAGCTAGGACTTTAGAATCTCGCGCCATCGATGTGTGCTGCGTCTCCGAAACGTGCATACAGGACCCGAGTAGTGTCATTCATTTGACCTCATCATGTCAAAATAAAGAACCGACTCGATTCACGCTTCGGGTATCTGGAAGCCCTGATTCTGCTTCCTGTGGCCTCGCCGGCGTAGGTATAGCATTGAGTCCTAGGGCAGAACTAGCTCTCTTAGAGTGGATCCCAGTAGACAGTCGTTTGTGCGCTGTCCGACTGAACGGAACAGTAAGGGTCCGGAAAGATAAGGACACTCGTCGTCATCAGAATTGATTACCTCAAGTGGTGTTCGTCAGGGCTGTCCACTCTCCATTCTTGTTTAACTTTGTCATTGACGTACTTTTAGAGATAACACTCTCCTCATCTAAATTTCCAGGGGTTGAACTTCTACCGGGAGGTTCACTTGTTGAATTAGAATATGCAGATGACATAGTTTTATTTGGTGAAGACGCTGACAAAATGCAGAGTCTTCTGACCACTCTAAACAACAATGCAAGCATGTTCGGGATGCGATTCTCTCCCTCGAAATGCAAAATGTTGCTTCAGGAATGGGTTACATCGACACCCGAACTAGTGATTGGGAGTGAAGTAGTTGAGTGTGTCGACCGCTTCACTTATCTTGGTAGTCTCATCAGCCCTTATGGTCTGGTGTGTGACGAAATCTCAGCACGGATACAGAAGGCTCGACTAGCTTTTGCCAACTTGCGTCATTTATGGCGTAGGCGAGATATCCGTCTATCAACCAAAGGACGTGTTTACTGTGCAGCAGTTCGTTCCGTCCTAATTTACGGCAGTGAAATATGGCCGGTAAGAGTAGAGGATATCGTAGGTTACTAGTATTCGATCATAGGTGTCTTCGAAGCATTGCTCGCATATCCTGGAACCATCTAGTAAGTAACACAGTTGTTAGGAAACGGGTACTAGGTAAGGATGGCAAATCGATTGATGAAGTAGTGAAACCTCATCAGTTGAGATGTCTGTGACATGTGTTATGTATGCCCAACCACCTACTGCCTCGACGTGCGATGTTCAGTGGTATAGGAGTAGGTTGGAAGAAAGCTAGGGGCGGCCAAACCAAAACATGGCACAAGTCCATGAAGTCACTGACAAGTGGACTGAGACATGTTGGTAGGTGTAGACTACCTGGTTGGGGACCGCGAGATGATAGCAACCGATGGTTAGAGACCCTGAATGACATGGCTCAAAATCGTTTGCAATGGTACAGGTGCATCCACTCTCTGTGTTCTCCCAAATTCTAATCTTCTGAATTCTTCATGTCCCTTTCCTTTTTCTCTTTCCAAATTTATTTCACTGTATTATACTCTTTAACTAACGTCTCCGAACACTAGTCTTCCCGATTACTGCTTATAGTTTTACTACCTCTACCACTATGGGATTTGAATCGACAGCTGCATCTCTGTGTTAAGGTGGTGTGGCAACTCGAACTGATGTACGTATGTACGAAGTTCTACGTTGTTACTGACTGACTGACTGAAAATCGTATCAGTAGCTAAGTAGATTCTAATTTCATGTGATTAGTTCCGCTTATGAATTAAAATGAAACCAGGAGAAATGTTTATTAACAGTGGTATGCATTCATTATAACTAAATATGCATTAGGATTTAACAGTGATGTGGGAAACAGTTGACATACCTTAATATGAATAATTGAAATGACGTAGGTTATCAATAATGACTATATATGTATGTGCAGTTTAAGGTCAAAGGTCATTTGTTTTTACAGTCAATAACACATTAAGAATGGGTGGTGTAATAGTGGACTGGAGTTCACAGACAGATAAGTGGTGTGAAAATCTTATAGCTTGTAAATGATCCGTGGATTTAAGAACTGAAAACTTGGGTTACGTAATAATTGATTACAATTTGCAGAGGTCACATAATTACAGAGGATTAAGTGACAGGGTGCTGGAATAATCGGTAACTAAATTTTAAAAGTGAAATGAATTATTACATAATCCATCTTATTACTTGTTCATTCCATGGATTATAAGGAGTTCATATTATTCTCTATCTATATTTGTTCTAGCGTCATATCGACTATTAATAAATACGGACACGGTTTATAAAGTAAGACACTGAGTGTAGTTGCTATATTTATATTTCACTAATTCATTAGTTGAATAAAAATGTTACTAGGCAATACGGAACACAGTTAACGTGAACATGTAAACCGTTTTTTAACATGGTCTTCCATAATAACAAATTCCATAAGTTGTAGACCGGCGTAAACATCACAAACCTTTGACGACTTTATTGGATTCATACAATTCTGAAAAACAAACAAATCAGTCGTGAAATAAAGAATTAGACCTAGTTATCAGTATCACATTCAATAAGTACATCAAATAGCAGGTTACAGAATGTACCTATAAGTCTCTTATTTGCAGACAGCGCTAATCATTAGAGATTTCTATTTCCTTTAATAAAAATTAATAGGTAATCTTTACAACACACAAATCAATGTTATTTAAAAATTGCTGAAGTTAGTTTCGTCACAACATAGAAGCGTAGTCTGAATTATGAAGAAAATGTAATTCATTAATGTGGCATAAAGGAGATATGAATACAAGGAACTTGTGATTCTGCTTCCATTGCTCATTCACTTTTCGTCACGTTGTCTGCATGAATTACTTCGGACGAGTCAGTCTGTAATGCAGTAGGAATTCATGAATTAACTCATGAATAGTTGTTTTTTTATTCAAGTCTGTGTCGTAACAAGCACTGGGAATTTATTCAGTGTCTAACCCTTGTAGTATTTCGTCTATACATCTGGTATTAGCAAGAGAAATTGGTAAGTACCATTTAGATATTACTCGACAATATGCATCATAACTTTGTTCACATTTTCGTCTGCGACTGTGCATTTCGTTTACAGAAAATTATTCGTCAACCCTATAACAGACACATCATAAATCAATATTAAGTACGACATGGTTTTGTCACCATGCTCAGAAGAGACACCCATCGTTTTACTTATGAAGATTTTGTGCCTATTTAATGTGGTGTTATACACTGTTCCTGTATACGTTCAGAAAGCCGGTAAAAAAGACTATCAACATCAATTCTTACTCACATAATTTTTCTCTGATACGTTACACAATAATATGTCACTTCAATACAAAACAATGCTACCTTTAGTGCAAATAACCTTTTATGGCTAAATACAAACAATTTATATAATATTCATAGTTAGTTTAATGCTTACTTCTTTCTGATTACATTTTATAAACGACTGCGAACATCTATGTTTGCCGTCACCATAATCAAGGAGGTGAACCATATATAATGCTTTTCACGGCTTATTTTCATGAAAAGTCAATCTGTAATCTATTTTTGACTAGAAAAATGGTGATTTGACTTGTTTGACTTTGTATTGTTAAAAAATAACCATATTACGCCAACTACATATTTACTTAGGTGGTGAGCACGAAATACGTCAAACTGCTTATAAATTGAAATAAATACTATCTTCCAATCACAAAGATTACGAGAAGTCACGTATGATGGAAAAAAGGCTGTTAATAGCTGATAAATAACGAAACATAAAATCCACGACAATATGTTACTTGTGCGCGAAAACCCGTAAACTGACACGCATAGTGTGCCGAAATAATACCGCTGTCCTTTTGAATAGAGCGCGCGGATGCATGACCGAGAGGCTTCAGCTAGGTGAGTCCATTAGAACTAACGCGGTCAGCATCCAATGTCGAAAACTTACAGAGCTATTTATTTTGGGAATTTATTTACGGCTACACGCTACCATAAGTTAGTGAACGTGGCGATATACGAGGCGACGTGAAAAAGAGTAATTCGGTAAATAGGACCTACTAAAAACTATAATTTTGATCCAAGTATTTCCGTGGAATATGAAAAGACGCAATCACCGTGAAGGATGTCTCTATTTGTTTATCTGCCTGCTTCTTCTAATATTCATGTTCACTCACCTTGACTCTAAAGTTTTGGCGGCACTTGAAGTAACTCTCTAGTCATGTCGGTTAACGCTGCTAGCATGCTTACCCTCGGTGGAGAAAGGACGAGCGGCGAATCTGTTCGCAAACAGAATGGTGAGTTTCCTTATGTTTGTTTGGCATCAAAAGGTTTATTTTTTTATCATGTTCTGCGACAATATTTTGCACGGATACTGTTTTGTATATGGTGGAAATAAAAACATTCAAAGGAATGAAAACCCCCGGTAATTAGTTACCTATGTTAAGAGCATACCGATGTTTTGAAGGAAGTGGTTAGCTTTTTCTTTTAGGTATTTAAATAAATACTCGTGTGATAACCAAAACTCTAGGTTCGTCATTGCTGCTAGTAAAGGCGTGTGTTCCAAACATAAAGCTTTGTCAAAACGTTTGTATGATCATGCCGTTCAGTATTTTGTCTCACGGTTAGCTTCATCCACTTTATTGGCTCGCGGGTAATGGTAATGGAACTGTGACCAAAACTTTGACTTGGGTAATGAGTCATATGGAATGAATAAGTTATAGACTTGAAGCGCTCTTATGACAGTTCACCTTATTCACAGGAAGTACGGTTTTCTTAAAACAGTGCCCAGTAGTGTTATGTAAGATCTGGAACTCGAAATGGGAGTATTTTTTCTACGTTTCATCGTGTTGATGCGATGAGCTGCAAGTGGAGCATGCAATATGTTTGTGATTTTAAAATATGAAGAATGTTTGCACACAAGTTTTTCTCGTTAGATGAACGATTCGCATTAGTACCTTGGCAAACCAAGTGATCCAACCAGATTTCTATTCTATGCCTAGAATTTGATTTGTAGACGAAAGTATTCATCAGTTCCTTCAACTTTGGTTGACCTATTTCATTTATTTATTTTAACACAGATATTGATACAGGGAGGCACTAGATACATATGCGCTACACAAGTCTCATTTGATATGTGTGACGACTGTGATACTGCCCGGGTGCCTAAATCGAACCAGGTGGTTTTCTTATGAAGCCACACCCGGAGCTTTTGATCTAAAGATCTGATCCACAAGGCAGTAGGGCAACATCAGGTTATGCAGTCCCATGGTCGCCAGTGACCAACGATTGGTTCATGCGCTATTTGTTCCTTTAGAATACTGGAGCCAATGTGCACCATTGGTTTGGAATGAGGGTTTTCCAACTCCTTTAGGTGGACTCTCCATGTCCACCAACCCGGTTAAAGCGCCGGACATTCGCTTTCGTCCTCTCAACTTCGTAAAAAACACCCACCACGAGAAGGCAGTAAGTAGGACTTCTCTGGTAGAGGCTATATACGCGTGGCCATGTGAGAGCATTTGGCGAGGGAGAAGGGACTCTCCCCACTCTGCCGTACCAGGGCAGATGCATGATAAGTTGATCAATGCCTCAAACAAGCAGAACTAGCAGATTATATCACCGTTTATTGAAATGATTGGGATCCTTTCACTTTAGTAATTTGGGTTTCGTCTAATACCTACAGAACTACTTTTTTGTTACGTGCGTTTTGGAATCGTGTAAGACTGTCAGACTCAGAGAAGAATCAGTTACTTTTCTAGGAAATTTTTGTTTCACAAAAACCACGTAGTGTAATATTACTAGATAATAATCTTTCAAACTGGAGTAGAAGTTAAGCCTTGTCTGTTGGTAAGTACAAAGTTCTAATGTGCGCAAATTAAAATACTCTAAAAACGTTTTTATGCCAAGTAAATCATAAACGAAGTATGTTTTCCTAAACACAACATAGAGCATTGTGTTTATTATTTCCAAAACTCTCAATACCTAATTTAATGATTGTAATCTCAGTAGTTGCTTGTGCTTGAAGTTTTGTTCTATTCAAAGTAATGAAAAATACAAGTTTAATTGCTTCGTTCGATTATCTCCAAATCATACTACGTTGATGTCGACTCCTCGTTTCTGGTCACATTTGCAAAGATTAGTAAACATTAAACCCGTTCAAATGACCCTCAGAGGTTTAGATCCGATCAGTTAACGTCTGAGTATGGAACAGGTGTGCGTTGACTTGAGTTCCCGAACCATGAGATCACATTAATAAGATTAACATCAACAGAAACCTAAGTAATGTAGTATCAATGACAGTAGGGAGGATTCAACATCAAGAGTATGATTTAAAAGGTAGTGGAGGAATCCTGACATTTCACATCGCGAGTAAGTGCATCTTTGTCATTATTAACGATTTTGAGTTATCATCAGACGTCTCCGGTCACGGATCGCGGTCATTTTTCGGACGCAATCAGGTAGCCTGTGTCCACTTGCATGACTCAGATCATGTCTTTAACATCATGGACTGCCGCTAGGTTTCACTCGACCGCTTCTAGCTTCCAGACTACTGTGCTAGTAAACATCATCTGTCGAGGTAGGCGTTGATTTGGCATGCGTAACATCACCTCAATCGATGGGTATACGTAACCTCATCAATGTATTCGACACCTTCATTTTATACTGTGCGTCTTACCTCAACGTTGTTCACTCGTTCACCACGCGAGATGTAAGCAGTGTATTAAAGACACTTGATCAATAAACCTGCAGCCCATGGTTGTCTTCTACTTTCGAAGACCACGATTTACTGGCTAAGATAGGTATTAACTAAAGTGTAGAAGTATTAGGTAGTACGATTTAATTATTGGTCATACCATATTGAATCGTTATATTAACTGGGAAAGCTAACCTGACCAATTTCTTCGAATACTGTGGAGTGTTTTAGGATTTGACTCCATGATGTGAGAGTAAACCTGTCAAATTTGGTATGAACGAGCATCCATACATGCATCAAAATCCGATGATAAACCTTTATTCTGTAGTGCTTGATAGGACTGTGGTATACATGAAAACATTTTGGACATTCTTAATTGCTAACCATATGATGAATGTTATGTGCTAAAAGTTAATCTGACCGTTCAAAACATGCATTATGTTACGTAACAGCAATAAGACATTTTTAAATGAAGTAGATATGTAAAAAGATTAGGTTTATTTGATCAGTATTACTTCTGAAATATCTGGCGTTTCCTATAGTAACTGGAAGATTGGTATAGCGGCATATAGTTGAGGCAAAATGAGCTCAATCAATAAAGCTAAAAAGTGTTTCGTCAATTTTTAGTTGCGAGCCACTTCAACTTGTTATATATTTAAACCAATTCATCTCAGAATGTTTTCATAGTCGTCAACATTCTATAAACTTGTTAACTACTGGTTTTAGCCATAAAATCAATAGTCGTTATTCAGTAACTAGTCAGTAATCTCACTAGTGTGTGATAAGTTTTTACTTTGTTTCTGACCGTAATTCATGGATAGTTATCTCAACTAATCTAGATGTATCCACATCTCTTAAAACCTAATGGCAATTTTTTGCTTGTGTTCCTCATTCATATTGTTTGTTTATTGTTATTCACCATATCCTAGTAGTGTGCTTTTCCCTATGAAGCTATTTAAACGAATAAACAATCATACAGTTATTTAATGGTTTCACCGTTTCTAAGATAACTGCTACGAGGTTTGAACTTCAAGAGTTTACTAGTTCTCTAATTATTTGAATCCAGTCGGTTTCAGGATAGCTCTAGCTTCTGTAGCAAGTTAGATCATCACTTGGAGTAGATCATTAACGTGGATTACAATGAACCTATTACTTACCTCCCTACACTCATATACAGAAGGGTCAAGTAGCAATAGAAATCATCTTTAACTATATGCAGTTGATATAATGTTCTGCTTAAATTTGCTCGTTTTTACATCAATTTCCGTTCTAATTACAGTTCTCGCTGCTTGCTCAATTGCTAACATCGTTAAGACCAGCCTAGGTCCTGTCGGTCTTGATAAAATGCTGGTAGATGACGTTGGAGACGTGACAATCACTAACGATGGGGCTACTATTTTGAAGTTACTTGACGTTGAGCATCCTGCAGCAAAAATTCTTGTTCAGCTCGCGCAATTACAAGATGAAGAGGTTGGGGATGGGACAACATCTGTTGTAATTTTGGCTGCTGCACTGCTCAAGAATGCAGACGAACTGATTTCTCGTTTTGTTCATCCTACCATAGTAATCAATGGTTATCGGTTGGCCTGTCGAGAAGCTTGTAAGTACATACAAGAACACATGGCGTATGATGTAAATAAGTTGGGTAAGGCTGGGTTAATAAATGTGGCACGAACCGCTATGTCAAGTAAACTTATCAATTTGTAAGTTATTCACTTCGGTTGTACATATTATTGCTTTTAGAGATGCTGAAATGTTTTCACAAATGGCTGTGGATGCACTTATGGCTGTTGAAGTCTCTGGAGGTCCCAAAGGTCCTGTTTATCCCATAAAAGCAGTTAACATTCTGAAAGCCCACGGACGATCAATGTCAGAGAGCATGTTGATAGATGGTTATGCTCTGAATTGCACAGTTGCCAGTCAACAGATGCCTCGAACGATAAAAAGGCGAAAATTGCCTTTCTGGATTTCAGCTTACAAAAAGTTAAAATGAAACTGGGAGTTCAAGTATGTTTAATACAGAAACCATTATATTCTTCGAAACACTAAGAAATTGATTAAAAATACTTACTTACTTACTTACTTACGCCTGTTACTCCTCGTGAAGGAGCATAGGTCACTCACCAGCATTCTCCATCCAACACTGTCCTGGGCAATCCTCTCTAGCTCCGTCCAGTTGTAATTCATCGTTTTCATATCTGCTTCTATCATCCGACGCAATGTGTTCTTTGGCCTTCCTCTTTTTCGCTTCCCTTCAGGGTTCCAAGTTAGGGCTTGCCTCGTGATGCAGTTTGACGATTTGCGTAATGTATGTCCTATCCATTTCCATCGTCTTTTCCTAATTTCTTCTTCAGCTGGGAGTTGGTTTGTTCTCTCCCACAAAAGGCTGTTGCTGATGGTATCCGGCCAATGGATGTTGAGTATCTTGCGTAGGCAGCTATTTATAAATACTTTTACTTTCTTGATTGTGGTTGTTGTAGTTCTCCAAGTTTCAGCTCCATACAGTAGAACTGCCTTGACGTTCGTCTTGAAGATTCCCACTTTGATATTGGTTGAGAGTTGTTTTGAGTTCCATATGTTCTTCAATTGTAGGAATGCGACCCTTGCTTTGCCGATCCTCGTCTTTACGTCTGCATCTGATCCTCCTTGTTCATCGATGATGCTTCCTAGGTATGTGAAGGACTCTACATCTTCCAGAGTTTCGCCATCAAGAGTGATTGGATTGCTGTTTTCCGCTTTGAATTTGAGGACCTTGGTTTTCCCTTTGTGTATGTTGAGGCCTACTGATGCAGAGACTGCTGCTGCATTGGCTGTCTTCATCTGCATCTGTTCGTGTGTACGTGATAGGAGGGCTAGGTCATCTGCGAAGTCCAAATCGTCTAATTGATCCTGAGCTGTCCATTGTATGCCGTGTTTTCCTTCAGATGTCGAGGTCTTCATAATCCAGTCGACCAACAGAAGAAAGAGGAAGGAAGAGAGTAAACACCCTTGTCTGACTCCAGTCCTTACTTGGAATGCATCTGTCAGCTGTCCTCCATGCACTACTTTGCACTGTAGTCCGTCGTTTGAGTTCCGGATAATGTTGACAATCTTCTCAGGAACTCCATAGTGTCAAAGAAGTTTCCATAATGTCCTCCTATCTACACTGTCGAATGCCTTTTCATAATCAATGAAGTTGATGTATAGTGATGAGTTCCACTCAACTGATTGTTCGACGATGATCCGTAGTGTTGCAATTTGGTCTGTTCACGTTCTATCCTTACGGACTCCAGCTTGTTGATTTCGAAGTTAGGCGTCTACTGCGTCTTTCATCCGGCTCAGCAATACTCTGCTGAAGACTTTCCTTAGTATTGACAGTAGTGTGATGCCTCTGCAGTTTTCACATTTGCTCAGATTTCCTTTCTTTGGAATCATGATGAGGTGTCCTTCTTTCCAGTCCATCGGCACTTGTTCCTCCTCCCAAATCTTTTTGAATAGAAGGTATAGCATGCTTGTGGTTGCTTCGATGTCTGATTTCAGTGCTTCAGCTGGTATGTTGTCGGGTCCTGCTGCTTTCCCGTTCTTGATTTGTCTGACGGCGGGGACGCTAACCCCATGCCCAACCCTCCTCCTTTACCCGGGCTTGGGACCGGCAGTAACCCTATAAGATCTACAGGCGGAGTTTGATTAAAAATGATAAATACGAAATGTCATGTAAAATATTTTACTGTCGTAGATTATTAGGATAAAGTAGGAGATTAGAAAGGTTCAATTAAAAATAAATACAATTAAATTCTGTCAGTCTGGAGGGCTCGCCTTTCGATTTATGAAGAACTTAGTAGGGAACAATAGCGAAGTCGCTACTGACTTCAATTTAGTCATGAATGGTAGCAAACTGAACCACTGAGTTGCAAATAACCATAATGAAACTAAACTGCTGGTCCTATACATTTTTCTTTTATATTAGGATTCTATTTTGTTACCTGTGAACTATCCATCCAGTACTAGCGTCGCCAAATAATGTAAGATATGGGAGCTTCCAGGGTGAAATTTGTGAAATATAAAAGCTACAGATGTGAGGGTTGCAAGGTGCTATTCAAATATAAAGCTAAATAATCAGTCTTATAACCGTGTATCATGACGTTTGATATTCTTCTATGATAGCTTTCGCAAACTGTCTGGTTCACTAAATTTATCAAAGTGGTCATTTTTGTTAAACTGTTTTAGAAAGTTAAGACTTCACTTCACTTTTTAAAATCTTTTGAGTAGCTTATCGTACAACTCGACAAAAATCTGGTTAGCAAGATTAGTTTTTTTGTATTATCAAACTAATTTGTGAACAGAATATCTACTTTTATTTTGTCATTATTTTTCCCTAATTATTTATTGTAACAGGTTGTGGTTAAGGATCCTGCCCAACTGGAAGCTATCCGTCAACGCGAAGCTGATATCACAAAAGAACGTATACAAAAGATTCTTAATGCTGGTGCTAATGTCATTCTTACAACTGGTGGAATCGACGATTTATGCATGAAGTATTTTGTTGAAGTTAATGCTATGGCTGTACGTCGATGCAAAAAAGTTGATCTGAAAAATATGGCAAAAGCAACTGGAGGTCAGCTTATTGTTAGCTTAGCAGATATGGAAGGTGATGAAGTTTTCGATCCAACGAAGTTAGGAAATGTAATTCATTAGTTTATTTCAGTTTAGTTAATTCAAAAATTTAATTTTTGGTTTAGGCAGAGGAGGTATCTCAAGAACGCATATGTGATGACGAATTAATTATACTGAGAGGTCCTAAAGTTCATCCATCGGCAAGTATCATTTTACGAGGTGCAAATGACTTTTATGTCGATGAAATGGAACGATCTCTACATGATGCACTTCTGGTTAGTGTCAATGTATATTATTTTATTATTATTCTGATATTTTTCTGTTTTATAGGTAAAGGAACAAATTCATTTGTTAAGTTATATATTTAAATACAGACTCCTAATTTTTTCTAATCTTAATAGTTCATTGTTCACATCGTGATACATGTACATTGTGAGTTGTATGCATTCATCTTCATAACCATTAATGATTTTCAACCGTATCATCCAATGTATTCCACAATATTTAAGACTTATTTGATATAATCCAACCAGACAAATTTCTAGGCATCTGCATGGTTCAAACTACCTTTAATTTTTTCAATCTAGTAGTCCTAATATGATCGATAAGACATACTGAGGAAGGTGTAAATTTTTTTTACTGCCGTATCACCTGGTCATCAAGCTAAGCGTTAGATACTTTTTAGTCATCAAGGTTGTTTAATATTTTGTGAATATTCATCTGTGTCCTTTGACTTATTATCTGTATGTTATTTGTCACCGTAATCCACTGTCTAACTGATTTTTACTTCTCAGTAAGATGATGGTAGGACGTGACGTATGCGAAAGCTTGGGGCAATCATTGTTTTTAACAATCATTCCAGAATAGTAAAGGGTTACAAAAAACATACACCATTGTAGGTTTGGGACTAACTACCCCAAATGCCCTGGTACGGCCGAGGGTGAGGAAAGTCCACTTCCCCTCTCGAAATGCTCTCACATGGCGATGTGCATACAACCACTGCCAGGGAAGTCCTAATCACTGCTTTCTCGCGGCGGGGGTGTTTACGAAATTGAGAGGACGAAAAGCGAATGTCCGACGCTTTAACGGGGTTAGTGGGTATGGAGGATCTACCTAGGGGGGGAGTAAGACAACCCAGATTCTTAACCAGTGATGCAAACGAGCTATAGAATCCTGAGGGAAAATGGCGTATAAACCTATTGTTGGCCACCGGCTACCACAAAAGTACATCTAATCTTACTCCAATACCTTGTGGATTAGACTTGTAAGTTAATGACTTGGAGAGTGACCTCCTGAAAAAGCCACCTGCTTCGGTTCAGGCTCATATATATTTGATGCCCCCTTATACTAATGTTTATGTGTTTAAATAATAATATTAATAACATCAACATAACAAGCCGAATAGTAAAAGAGTTGATGAAACAGTCTTAGTACCAATGATGGTCAGGAAAACTAAGCAATTAATAATGAATAAGATTTTATGTATGAAGGAGTTCAAGATGTATAGGAAGGAAGAAGTAGAAAATGCATCTGCACCACTGTAACCAATTCTAAGCCATATTATACGTCTCAAACCACTAATCACGTTTATGAGTAGCCCAGCCAGGTTGTCTGTACCTACCAACATGACACAGACAAGCAGTGAGCGACTTCATGGAATAATGCAGTGATTTGCTTGAACACCTCTAGCTCGGAACTTCGGCAAATGATATTAGATCTATTATATCTATACATTGTGAGTGAAGTATCGTTATTTTTGACTTGTAGACTAAAATGTTCCATTTTGTGACTCATTAATTTTAATTTTGTTAGGTGGTCAAACGAGTTCTGGAAAGCAAACGCATTGTACCTGGTGCTGGAGCTTGTGAAACAGCAGTCTCAATCTATCTGGAAAATTATGCTTTAACCTTAAGTTCACGTGAACAGCTAGCTATTGCTGAATTCGCTCGAGCTATGCTTTCTATTCCGAAACAGTTGGCTGTGAATGCTGGTGTCGATTCAACTGAACTAGTTGCACGTCTACGATCTTGTCACAATTCAAGTCAAAGTAAACCTGACCAAGCTCATTACAAGTGGTAAGTTGATAGTTCAAGTGTTCTCAAAGACGTTTTTCAAAGGTGTCGATACTTCTACGGATTTTAGTGGCTAAACATAGGATGGAGTCGAATGAGTCTTATAAACTATTCAACAGACCACTACATAGTAAATAGATATTAAGGTTATTTATTTAAATAAGTCATCCTTTCAACCGTTAGCGGACAAAGTAATCGAAAGGTAAGTCAAATAACGTCCACAGGGTTTGTGGAGTTAGTGAACAGCTCATTTCTACATGAAATAAGCGTTGATGATGTCTAGAACAACAACATAAGCTTCACATGAACTCAGAAAACACAACCAACAGTATTCTTTTTATTTCCGTTCTTTTGCTTATCTACTCGCTTGTATAGATATTTTTATACAAATAGACTAGCTATAATCATATCGGTCATATTCAAACCAGCCTCTATGTAAAGCATTTCTATTGTGTCTATATTACTGATTATTTTCATAATGTGTATTTTTGACAGCTGTAGAATAACATCAGCATTATTTCATTATTGAGTTAAGTTGTTTTATCAACAAAATACGTCTGTAATTGATACTATTTCGGAAAAAAGATGGAACTGTTATTCACTCAATTCAGGAGATTGGATCATTGGGCAAAACACCTTAGGGAACTTTTCATCTGGCCTTCAAACACAATTCAGTTACCCAAGTGACCTGAATGAGAAATTGATGTAAGTCCTCCAACTCTTAGGTTGAAAAGGCAATGAGTAATCTAAAGCGAAGGGGAGCAGCCGGACCTGATAGACTTACCCCTGAGATGACATGGTTCAGAATGAATCACAGTGGCATAGGTGTATACACTCTTTGTCTCCTCTCAAACCGTGAGATTAAAATTGCGTTATACCTTTCTTTCTACGAACTAATTTTCTCTTCCTGTATTATATCCTCATACTACCATTGAAGTGACTACTTTGAATGTGGTGTTCATCTTATTGTGCTAATGAAGTGTGGCAACTTGAACTGATGCATATATGCCTGTTCCTACGTTGTAGCTGACTGACTGAGATTTTTAAGGATTGTGGTCGGGTTTTAGCATTTAGATTAACTGGGATCTTCACTAAAATCTGGAAACGACGTTATCCTATCTGATTGGCCTCGATCGTTGATCGTCCCAGTTTATAATAAAGGACAAAAATCCTCTTGTCACAAGCAAAGATGAGTCAGTTTGAATAATAGGTTATCTAAAATAGTAGCCTCAGTTTTATTTCGACGTTTAGCTAGAGCTCGTGACGAGCAACGAGGGAAAATCAGGCTATTTTCATACCTGCAATTGGATGTACAGATAGAATATTCAACATTAACCAAGTTCTGGAGCATAAACAAACCTTTCGACACCCGACTATAGTTGCATTCTGTTATAACCTGTGGCTTGTGTGCCCTGTTAATGTATAACTTAACGATACTGCCAATTAGAGAGCAGTGATATATCGATCGGATCAATGACGCGTAAACCTGTATGACCAGTCTAGAGTCCTGATTGGTCCTGCTTTCCGCCTAGCCCAGACAGTTAGGTCCAGAACACCAATCTCAGTCTCTGCGATATGAATCATTATATTTCAAACATACTGAGTTTATATACCAATCAAACAGACCACAACGTACCATAAAATAGAAAACAAGATTTGGCCAAAAGTGGCTGTGAAAGTAGGAGGTATTAATTAATGGACAGGGCATAATTCGAGAATGGTAAAGCGTATAATAATGGCTCATAAATCAAAATAAAGCTTATGATAAGAAGAATATGAATATGAATAGTTTAGTTATTTAATAATTATACGATAAAAATATATGTTCAGTATTGGATCCCAAAGTTACCATTCATTATACTTATCGGGACCTAACACATTCCTTGACATTAAAATAATAGCGTTTGAATCCGTTGATCGTTAGGCTTTGTAGAATTATCTGTCATCACGAGGCGTACCAAAGAAGAACATTAGCCTTTTACAGACTCTCTAATCAAGCACTTATGGCTAACTCGTCGAAATCGGTAACTTCAAATGGTGTTCGTCAGGGTTATCTTTTTTCTCCATTTCCATTGAACGTTCTCACCAACATACTTTTGGAGATAAAACTTTCATCGTCTGACTATACAGCGGTTGATCTTCTACCAGGAGATTAAATTGTTGACTTGAAACAAGCAGATGATGTGGTTCTGTTTGGTGAAAATACTGAAAATATTCAGTCATCTGACCACCATAATTAACAATGCTTGCATGTTTGGAATGTGGTTCTCTCCCTTCAAATGTAAAATGTTAGATCACGATTGGCTTGCGTCAACGCCTGATTTATTGATAGGGAGTGAATTAGTTAAATGCATCGATCGTTTCACTTACCTTGAGAGTCTCATCGGTCTTGGTGGTCTGGCCTCTCGAAATCGCAGCACTGATTCCGAAGACTCAATTGGCTTTCTCAAGCTTGTGTCACTTGTGGCGTAGGCAAGATATCCGTCTTCCAAACAAAAAGCGAGTTCACTGCGCAACTGTTCGCTTCATCCTATTTCGTGGATGTGAAACAAGATCATTAAGAATAGAGGATATTCGCAGGTTACTGGTATTCGATCATGGGTGTCTAGAAGGTATTGCTCGTGCATTTTGGGAACACGAAATGAGCGATGCTTAGTTTAGGGGTAGGGTACTAGGTAAACATGGCAAATCGATTGGTGAGGTAGTAAATCTTCACCAACTGAGGTTTGTATGTGTGTTACGTGTACCAAACCACCGCCTATCTAGACGGACGATGTTGTTTGGTGTAGAAGTAGGTTAAAGAAGTGTAGTGGCGGTCATACAAAACGTGGCATCAGTTCAAGTCATTGACATTTGGACTGAGTCATGTTTACAGGTGTAGATTACTTGGTTGCTGTCCGCGTGATTATCATAACTAATGATTAGAGACTGAGTGATGTGGCTCAAGATCGTTTGCAATGGTGCAGGTCCGTCCATTTTCTGTCTTACCTCAAATTCGGAGCTTCTAATTTCCTCATGTTTCTGTTTGTGTTCTTATTCCATTAATTCATATTTTCTTTTCGAATCACAATCTTCGACGCTTAATCTTTTCTACTACCATTGATATTGTAACTACCTCTATTATTGTGGGGTTTGGTCCGACAATTTCATCTCTGTGTGCTAATGGCGAATGTCAACTTGAACTGATGTACATACGTACGAGGTTCTACGTTGTGATTTATTGTTTTGCCATCAGTTAGTGGTTTGGTTCACATTGTCATGATCTACAACAATATGACTCCCGGAAAATACTGGATTTTTAGACCAACAGAACATGAATCCGGGACGCACGTTTCGTCCAACATGGGATTGTTCAGCTTGATGTACCTACATTCCATCAGGTATATGTGCAACTTAATCATGCTATTGCAAGATGTAAATTGATATCTGAATAATTGGTATGGTAAAGTTCATCATTTATGTTTCCATATATAGAAAGATCTTATGATTTGATTGATTTAAAAATTAAAAATTAAATAGTGGGATTGCTGTCGACACATGTGACAATTTAATACGTATAATAATGTACAAGGATGCACAGGATTAGGTCTTTGAAAAAATAGACGTGCTGTTTTGAACTTCGTATTACCCCTTCATGATAGTTATTTCGATGTGATCTGTGAAAGACTTCACAATCGGAAACAATCTGTCTACCCAGATTTAAATTGATTAAACCAATTATATGACAAATTCAAATTCGGCCAATTAAATCAAACTTGTTAATTCACCAGATACTTGTGTATAAGCAACACACTATTGGCGAAGGCTAATGATACTGCTTAGTTGCCTGAATGTAAGTAGGTGAAGTGTCTTCCGAAACTAGTACTTAGTGGCTGAGAGTCACTGTTCCATAAGGATAAATGGTATTAAAGTTTTCCTAATTTCATTGGAATCATGAATTGATCAATACAAGACCACCAACATTGATTAGTTCAATGAAATTAAACCATTTCCACAACTGCATATTGATAATTTTTTTCTAGTTTGTTTGTGATCAGTTTAATTGTGTATGTTTGGCAGTGTTTCATAAGTTACTATAGAAGCATAAAGTTAGATTTTATTTACTTACCATAAAGAAACGTATCTAAGAAAGACTTGTTGATATGAATTTTATATTCATACATAAATTCTGTCTCTTATTTCCAAGTTAATTGTGCATATATTTAGACTACTTATTATTAACTACTCATTTACTTTGTTTTTATTTTCGATAGACTAACATTTTTATCCCTTTATTTTTAATCTCTTCAGGTGGGGATTGGACTTAAATAGTCAATATGTGGCTGACTGCAAAGAATTAGGTGTTTTTGAACCACTTGTTTCTAAAATTAAAAGTTTAAAATTTGCTACTGAAGCCGCTATCACTATTCTACGAATTGATGATTTGATTAAATTAAAAGAAGAGAAACAACCTGATCATGATGGTGACGAGTGTGGTTATTAATTGAATTCGATTCCGGTCAATATATTTCTATCGTTTGTTGGAAGAAATATATGTGTTACATAATTTTAGAATGTTTTATGCTAATTTGAAATCATCTGTAAAAGGTTATGGAGATTGTTGAGCGTAGATTAATATCATAAATGAATCAGTGTTAGACCATCATTTAAAATCTGGAAGCAATGTACGTCCAATCACTGTGCCAAATAGGACAACAAGCTTCCTTAGCTAGGACTCTAGAATCTCACGCCATCGATGTGTGCTGCGTCTCCGAAACGCGCATACAGGACCCGAGTAGTGTCATTCATTTGACCTCATCATGTCAAAATAAAGAACCGACTCGATTCACGCTTCGGGTATCTGGAAGCCCTGATTCTGCTTCCTGTGGCCTCGCCGGCGTAGGTATATCATTGAGTCCTAGAGCAGAACTAGCTCTCTTAGAGTGGATCCCAGTAGACAGTCGTTTGTGCGCTGTCCGACTGAACGGAACAGTAAGGATCCGGAAAGATAGGGACACTCGTCATTGCTTCTTCGTCATCTCTGCCTATTCTCCCACTGACTGCAGCTCAGATGATGTAAAAGATGAGTTTTACAGAAAGTTCTTCGACCTTCTCCGAAAAGCTAAGCGCTCTGATGTAGTAATATTGGCTGGTGACTTTAATGCTCAAGTAGGTAAACTAAGCGGTAGGGAAAGACACCGTTTGTTGCAGCTATGCTCAGATAACCACTTGTTCCTTGGAAATACTAACTTTAAGCAAAAGGAAAAACATGTTTTAACATGGCGACCCCGTAATTCGTCCCAACGTTGGACCCAAATAGATCACATCGCTATCAGCCACCGATGGAGGGGCTCGATAGAAGACTGTCGCTCATTCTGGAGCACATGCCTAGATTCAGATCATGCTCTAGTGCGAGCGCGTATCTGTCTGCGTCTCACTGGACGTAGGAAAGGCGCTGCAAAGAAACCTCTTAGGGTCCTACTTAATGATAGCCAAGCTAAGAGTATATTTCAGGAACAACTAGAAAAACAGTTAGGCAGCCATGTATGTGATGCCCACCCCGAGGCAGCATGGAATGATATCCGAAAAGCTGTGGAAACAGCAGTGATATCTGCTAGTACGGTAAACCATAAGGTCAGCGAGCAACACTGGATCTCAGCAGCATCTACCACACTGGTAGATGCTCGAAAACTCATTCCACCTGGCTCTGAACATAATGAAGAGCGGGGTCAGCTTAAGCGCAAGCTGACAAGAATTCTACGCAATGATCGTGAACAGTGGTGGGTAGCGAAAGCAAGAGAGATGGAAAAGACAGTGGAAATAGATAATAGCAGACAATTGTTCAGAATCGTTAAGGAAACCGGAATCAGGAACCCGACCGTTAGCGAAACAATCTCAGAGAAAGATGAACATAATATTCATTCTCAATCCGGGAGATTTGATCGACGGGGAGAACACTTTAGGGATCAGTTCAACTGACCTTCAGCCACACTTCGGTTTCCCACGATCTCCAGTCGACCTGAATAGCAAGTAAATGTAGGTCCTCCGACTCTTCATGAAGTTGGTAAAGCTATAGGAAATCTGAAGCGAGGGAGAGCAGCAGGCCCTGACAGGTTTACTCCTGAGATTTTTAAGGATGATGGTCCAGTATTAGCAGTGGGATTAACTGACCACTCAAAGCAACAATGCAAGCATATTCGGCATATGATTCTCCCTCGAAATGCAAAATGTTGCTTCAGGATTGGGTTGTATTGACACCCGAACTAATGATAGGGAGTGAAGTAATTGAGCGTGTCGGTCGCTTCACTTACCTTGGGAGTCTCATCAGCCCTTGTGGTCTGGTGTGTGACGAAATCTCAGCACGGATACAGAAGGCTCGACTAGCTTTTACCTACTTGCGTCATTTATGGCGTAGACGAGGTATCCGTCTACCAACCAAAGGACGTGTTTATTGCGCAGCAGTTCGTTCCGTCCTAATTTACGGCAGTGAAATATGGCCGGTAAGAGTAGAGGATATTCGTAGGTTACTAGTATTTGATCAAAGGTGTCTTCGAAGCATTGCTCGCATATCCTGGAACCATCTAGTAAGTAACACAGTTGTTAGGAAACGTGTACTAGGTAAGGATCGCAAATCAATTTATGAAGTAGTGAAACTTATCAGTTGAGATGGCCAGGACATGTGTTACGTACGCCCAACGACCGACTACCTGGACGTGCGATGTTCAGTGGTATAGGAGTAGGTTGGAAGAAAGCTAGGGGCGGCCAGACCAAAACATGGCACAAGTTCATGAAGTCACTGACAAGTGGACTGAGTCATGTTGGTAGGTGTAGACTACCTGGTTGGGGACCACGAGATGAAAGCAACCGATGGTTAGAGACCCTGAATGACATGGCTCGAAATCGTTCGCAATGCAGCAGGTGCATCCACTCTCTGTTTTCTCCCAAATTCTAATCTTCTGAATTCTTCATGTCCCTTTCCTTTTTCTCTTTCCAAATTTGTTTCACTGGATTACACTCCTTGAATAACATCTTCAAACCCTAATTTTTCCGATTACTGCTTATACTTTTACTACCTCTACCACTATGAGATTTGAATGGAGAATTTATCTGTGTGCTAATGTTGTATGGCAAGTGGAACTGGTGCACCGACGTACGAAGTTCTACATTGTTGCTGACTGACTGTCTGGGCTCCATGATCCTGAAGGAACAAATAGCGTATGAACCCATTGTTGGTCACCGGCTACCATTAGACTGCATTTTTTAACGTTGTTCTACTGCCTTGCGAATAAGAAAACCACCCGTTTCTGTTTGGGCACCCGGGTACACACAAATCAAGTGACTTGTGTGGCTCATATGCATTCAGTACCGTTTTGTACTAATATTCATGTATTCAAACAAATAATCAAGGAGAAAATTCGATTCATTGACTACTGAAATATTGACTTCCTTATGCATACAAAAACTAAATCATTTCGGGTACATTTCAAGTATTTTATGTTTTACAATAAATGAGTTTAGACTGCTAAATAGTTTTCATATGAATATCTGTGTAAAACATTGGAGATCTAAGTGATTATTGATTAGAAAGTGTTTGTTGATTCCTTTTTTTCCGTCCATAAATAATAAAGTTTAATGAATATTTATAAAGAAAATTATCATTAATCCTGTGTATTTTCACATTGGTCCATTAAATCCATGATTTTGTCTTACTACATTACTAGGCATATTCATGTTAACTGTCATTGTTTGATATGTTGGAGCGAATGCACCGAATGCACCACCCATATTCGGTGGTATCATACCATATCTAGCATAAATAGGATGTCGAATTGTTGATGTTTGTTGTTGTTGTTGTTCAGCTTCTGCTGCGGCAGCGGCAGCTGCAGCTTCTTTAGCAGCTTTTTCATCCATCTCTTGTGCAAGTGCAGCTTCTCGTTCACGTCGTTTCCTACTACGTGATTTACATAACATTAATTTTTCATGATTAATTATACAGAATGCAATAATTATACCAATGGTTAATAATAGTACAACAATTAATAAACAAGCTGATAATACAGAAGGTGGTAAATATATTTCTTCTTCCATTGGATTATTGGTCTTTCTTCGTCTTGTCTGTAATGTATTTATCGTTAATCGACGAAATGGGCAACGTTCTAATGCTTGATGTGAGCTAACTTTATCCGATGTAGTTGGTAAACCCTAGTTTTGAAAATAAAGGACGTTCAATGTGTTATGAATGCAAATGTAACCACAGTAATAATAATTTAAGTCAAAAGGAAAAACACCATTGTCGTACTCAAATCAATCACCTGTGAGTTGTTATCTAGATGCTTCAATAAATTTGATATTATTAAGTTAAAGCCGACTAACGTTGACATAGGTTTCGGAGTAAGTGGGACTCGTCAGCAAAGCTTATTTGCTATCGTATAGAAAATTATGTATTTTGGCAGATTCTAACCGATATCACCTAGTATTAAGATTAGATACTTAACAGCTGAACTGTTCGACTAACTGTTCATTTCTGTAGCGTTGAGATGCTCACGCTGATTGACCACCGATTTGTATTGCTCGGTATCGATCTCTGTTTATCAACTTGAGATTTATGCGTTAGTGAAAGTGGCATGACATTGGAGTTCACTGAGTTTGTTATTGGATAGTTAGGAGTAAGTGAAAAGTCAATCCCCTATTAATAAAACAGTATGGTACTATGATGCTCTTTGATTGATTAAAAAAGTCAAATAACTGTTATTCGAAATTGTTTAACATAACTTGGGTCGATTAAAGTTAGACATTAACACCATTGGATGCTGGTTAAGTTGGGCGTTCGCGCGCGAGACCGAAGGTTCTGGGTTCGAGTAGTGGATGCGCACTACTGAGGAGTCTCATACTATGGCGAGACGGTCGTCCAGTGCTTCTAGGTTTCCAATAGTAGTCTAGCTTAAATTGACTCATAAATTCAACTATTAGCATAACTTGAATTTAGACGAGAAGTAAATCATTCACTAGCTACTGTTATCAATTATGAATAAATTATTGTGTTCACTTTGTAAAACGATAGAGAAATAAAAGTTCATCAACAAATGTGTAATTACGACCTGATTTGTTCTTAGGTAAGGTAGGATTAGTTACCTCTCACATTCTCTGTTCTCAATGTGCTTACAAATTTCATTATAATTAGTAACAATACACTATCTCATCAATTGGTATTCTGGCTTGTGAATATTCTCAACTAAACTAAAAATATTGACAGGAGAATTGGCCTACTTAAGCACTCAGTAAACGGAATATCATCTATTGGAGTGAAATGGAGAGGAATTGATGTCTACAATAACATTCATGTCTCCCATTGTCACAGTTAGTTAGTACTTTATCCTACTGAGATGTTTAAATCATAACTATTATCTTCCCATTAAATTCAACAAACTATTTTGCAATGAAGTATATTTGTAGCTCAGGATAAGAATTTCAAAGGTGTTTTGTGCTTTGAGCAGAGCTAGTCAATTGTGGAGAAATTTGAGTAACTCACTTCTTTTGAAAAAAAAGAGCTGATGGTATGGCAAAGAAAGACAATGAAAGCTTGACAATTCAACGATCCAGCTCAAGGAACAGAATACTCTAGAAAGCAATCTATTTAGTTGCATTATAAGCAGAGATGAATGGTGGCTAGCCGTGGAATCCAGGATGTATATTTCATTTTATTTAGGGTTCGTCAGTTATATATATATATATATATATATATATATATATATATATATATATATATGCATCCTAGAGTTGATGTTCCAAAAGAAATGATTGATCAATTGCAATCCTTAACATCATTTGATAAATTCAAATAATCAACACAAACTGCGCGAGACTGATAGGCCCTGGGTTCAAATCTCGCGGGGTGCGGGATCGTGGATGCGCACTGCTGAAGAGTCCCATACTAGGACGGAACGGCCGTCCAGTGCTTCCAGGTTTTCCATGGTGGTCCAGCTTCAATTGACTCATGACTTCAACCAGTGAAATTTCTAAAATCTCCACAAAACCCATTCTCACAAATAAATAGATTACTAAATAGTTCAATGATAACAACAGAAATAATTAACTTACACTTGGTGAAAATTGACAATCTACATTTGATGTAATATTAGCTGGTTTATGTTGAACAATAAATGGACATGATTGAACTTCTTCATCACTTTGAAATTCTGTTATATGATGAATATCAAGTGGTTTTGGTGGTAAACGTTCTCTTTTTAATCCAGTTAATGAACGAAATACAACTTGTGTTAATTTATTACTAGCAAAACGTTCAGTATCTTCAAATGGTATAGAATTATTTATTAAACTTCTTCCATCAATACATATATATTGTGTTAACTGAAATGAATTAGAAAAACAGTAGGAGTTAGCGTTGACAACAATCACTCAAATCCAAAGTAGAAAGAACAAGTGATTACTCGTAGAAAACTTTTCATAGTTCACTTCTATCTGAAATTTGTCTTAATAGTCAAGTTATTTTCAATAGGATATGAACAAATGCCTATGTAAGATACTCAATGTCCTTGGTCAGTTACTATTAGCAACAGCCTTTTGTGGAAGAGAACAATTCAGCTTCCACCTGAAGAAGAAATTAGGAAAAGACGATGGAAATGGATAGGACATACATTACGCAAATCGTCAAACTACATCACGAGGCAAGCCCTAACTTGGAATCCTGAAGGAAAGCGGAAAAGAGGAAAGCCAAAGAACACATTACGTCGGGAAATAAAAGCGGATATGAAAATGATGAATAACAACTGGAAAAGATTGCCCAGCACAGGGTTGGATAGAGAATGTTGGTGAGCGGCCTATGTTCCTTCACGAGGAGTAACAGGCGTAAGTAAGTAATGCCAACAGTTAACAGTTCTCCAAGAACATATTATAGGAAGAAAGAATTAGATCGTGGAAACAAAGATATGAGGTACGTACTGTGGGAGAGAACAAACCAGATCCCAGCGGAGGGAGAAATCAGGAAGAAGCGCTGGAAGTAGATAGGACACATATTGAGGAAAGCACCGAACTGCGTCACAAGACAAGCCCTCACATGGAATCCTGAAGGCCAAAGGAAAAGAGGAAGACCAAAGAACACATTACGCCGAGAAATGGAGATAGACATGAGAAAAATGAACAAGAATTGGATGGAACTAGAAAAGAAGGCCCAGGACAGAGTGGGTTGGAGAATTCTGGTCAGCGGCCTATGCTCCATTGGGAGTAACAGGCGTGAGTAAGTAAGTAAGTTTAAGGGAAGAGAGAGAGTGTGTATACACCGACGCCATTGTAATCGATTCTGAGTCATGTCATACAAAGTCTCCAACCATTGGTTACGATAGTCACGCCGACCCCATCCAAGTAGTCTGCATCTACCAACATGGTTCAGACTAGAAGTTAGTGTCTTCAAGCACTGATGCCACGTTTTGGTTTGGCCGCCCCTAACTTTCTTCCAACCATCTCCAACACCGGTTAGCATTGCACGTCGTGTTAATCGGTATTCAGGCATACGTAACACGTGGCCCAACCATCTCAGTCGATGAAGATTCACAACCTCATCAACTGATTTACCATCATTCCCTAATACTGTGCGTCTAACACTATTACTTACCCGGTGATCCCAGCAGACGCCAGAAATATTTCTAAGGCATCTGTGGTCAAATACTAATAGCTTACGAGTGTCTTCTACTCTTAATGGCCATGTTTCGCTGACGTAAACTAAAACAGAACGGACTGCCGCGCAGTATAGACGGATATCTCGTCTTCGCCATAGGTGACGTAAGTTGGCAAATGCCAAGCGAGCTGAGATTTCCTCAGGCACCAACCCATTAGGGTTGATCAGACTTCCAAGGTAAGTGAATTTGTCAACGCATTCAACTACTTCTCTCTCTATCCTTAGTTCATGTGTTTTAACGTAGGCCAATCCTGAAACAACAACTTTCATTTAAAGATGGTGAAATTGTTCAACAATGCATTTTCTAATATATATTATTTATACTTAAGTATATAATATTAACTTACTTGCATTATACGTTGATAATAACGAAATAAAAATGGTGGTATAGTTTTCATACGAAATCCTAATTCTAAACCTAATAATTCACTATCATTTTTAATCCATGCTAGAAAATCTGCATCTATACAATCAACTGGTGGTAATGAATATTCTTGAAATCTTGGTTCATATATAAATAAATAAAATTGATCATTATTACCAATCATAACACAATCTAAATAACTAATTATATCGGTTGGTGATGGTAAATTATTCCAATGATCACATGACATATATAAAGCATCATGAATAGTTTGTTCCATAGTTTCATTGAAATCATTTGTTCCAGTTATATTATTACTACTATTCATAGAACTTGAATCTGTTTCATTTATAGTTGATTGAATGGTCGAAATAGTACTACTACTACTACTAGTAGTAGTAGTAGTGGTAGGTATCAATGATGATTGTGTTGTTTTGACACTATTGATTGATGAACTTTTCTTTGTTTCTATTGTTGATAAACGTACAATAAAACAGCCAACATTTGGACAAAATTGACATATAGGTAATTTAGCATTAGAATGATAAAGTAATTCAAATGTTCGATCAGTTTTATAATGACCACCAGTTAAATTTACTTTAGCTGGCCAATAACCACTTGGACATAACATATTAGGTGAATAATAATTATGATTACTATGTATGATAGTAATGTAAACTACATTCAATATAATAATAAAGGACAATATTCTCTGGAAAATGAGTTGAGTAATTTCAATAGACATCATTATTAGAATAAGGAAGGATATAGAAATAATTGTATCATACTTCATCGATAGTTACTGCACACCATTTATATATATTTTAGTGGTCCAATCAATGTAACCTAATGAAATCACGACCTTGATCCCCATCATCACAGATATTGTAATCGATAGATTCACCAATATACGACATGTGTGTGTGTGTCTATGTGTGCACATTGCAAATTGTTTCAAAAATACTTTGGGGGAAGAGTGGAAAATTTAGAACTTTGTTATTCTGATTGGTTGTGGACAGGATGATAAAGATTGTTTTAAAAACTACACCTTAATTATTTGTTAGGGAGGTCGATAGCATTCGATCTGCACTAAATAAGGACTTGACACATATGACATTGATCACCACCCAGTGATCAATCAATTGTGAGGTTTTAACCTTTTCAAGACTATCAAGAACCTGTCATTTATCCATTTAATATTTGGATTCCATTTCTATGCAGAGATATTTTGATTTTTCTTCACAGTATCCTTACTACTGACCAACCTGCTTGATAAACAGTACGAAGCAAGGGGTGTAGATGTGTAGGGAACAAGAACACAAGTGGGGTCAATCGAATGTATCTGTACAAAAAATTACAGAACGTCTTACTAAAATCTGAGAACCATACCGTAAATAGTTAATTTGCAAACTATCAAACTTGACTGTTCTTTTCGCAAATATCAATTGCCTTCCGTTTCCGTTCTTTCCTTCGAACCCAAAACCTATCGGTCTCGTACGTGAACACTTAAATTCTAGACCACGAAGCCGGCATCCAACGGTGTTAATGTCTAAACTCAACCAATACACTAAATTGTGCGACCACCTTTCATTGTAATGAGCTAGATACTTGTCTCTACTAGACATGGACTAGCTCCACTGGTCACAGCTTCTCACTTCGAGAATTCCCTCACGAAGTTAGTCACTAGTGAGCACATGAAAACTATGGAGTTGTGGGGACGAAACGGTCGTTTGGTGTTACCAGGTTTTTAATGGTGGTCTTGCACCAATCGACTCATGATCTCAATCAAGAAATGATAGTCTTCACAACCCCATACTGATAGACAACTTTTGTCAGTGTTATATTCAGTAAATATTGTCATTTCCATTTTATTTGTGTAGTGTTTTTTGACATCAGGGCTGCCTTCGATTCGTTGGACATGATTGTTTTCTGGGATTGTCTATTGAAGAAGGGTATGCCTGAGAAGTTTGTTAACATCTCAACAGCCCTATAAACAAACACCTCAGGTAGGGTGAGGGCATACAACCACATCTCTACACTGTCCTATTCAAGCAGTGGGGTTAGGCAGGGTTGCCCAATCTCATCATTCCTCTTCAACTTTGCCATCGATGACATTCTGGAAACAGCTCTGATGGATGTAAGTAATGGAGATGTGGTTTTGTTGCCTGGAGAAAGACTTCTCGACCTTGAGTATGCGGATGATATTATCTTACTGTGAGATAACACCTGAGCCATGCAATCCGCACTTAATCAGTTGGCAATCAGTGTCCGTAGGTATGGTATGTACTTTGCACCTTCTAAGTGCAAAGTACTTCTACAAGAACGGCAGGATGCTAACCCTGTACTCACTATGGATGGTGAACAGATAAGTAGTCGAGAAGTTCGTGTATCTGGGTAGCTTCATAAGTGCTGGTGGGAATGTGAGTGATGAGATCAATGCACGTATAGTGAAAACCAGAGCGGTTTATGCCAATTTGGGCCATCTTTGCGATGTCAGTCTGGCTGTAAATGCTCGAGTCTACAACGCGTCGGTGAGAGCATTTTTGCTCTATGCTTGTGAAACCTGGCCTCTCCGAGTTGAGAATGTTAGACGACTCTCTATGTTTGATCATCGCTGTCTCCGAAGGATTGCTGACATCCAGTGGCAACACCATGTCAGTAAAACAGAGGTTCGGCATCACGTGTTCGGGCACAAGGACGACAATCCAATTGGTGCCACCATCTTGAAATACCGACTTCGGTGGCTTGGACATGTTCTACGAATGTCGTCCCAGAGGATTCCCCGTTGTGCATTATTTGCCGACTCTGGGACTGGTCAGAAAAAAAACAGAGGTGGGCAGTGTATGACATTGTGTCGTGGTATGAAAGAAAGCTGTACAGGACTGGCTTCTGTTGGTCCTTGATGACCCCCTGGCTGGGGTCCGAGAGATGGTGCAACACAGTGGCTAGAGACGTTATCAGATATGGCTCAGAATAGAAGCCAGTGGCGATCTTGCTGTAACCTTTTTTTACTTTCTTCATAAACAGTGGTTGTATCTTCCTTAACTGAAAGATTTCTTCCGATTGTATCTTTCCGTCTCCCCCATTATTATTATTATTACTACACTATGTTACACTAATCTGGTGGTTATTGTTCTTTTTTTTCTTTTATGCTCCTTACCTTCTTTTTTCTCTCTTCCCACTCTCATTGTTTTGTGTGGCGCATATATATTTGGTGCCCCCTTGTACCAATATTTATGTGTTCAAATAATTAAATAATGTTATATTCCGTGAGGTAAATAGTTTAATCAAGATGTTTTTTTCATAGTCGTTTTAAAGGAAATTCCTATAACAAGTGGGGGTCGATGCACAACATCATCAGAAGTAATTTATTAAACAAACAATTTATTCAACTGAATAAGACTGAAAGAAGAAAGAACACCGATTAGGAACAAAAATTCAACATTGGAAAAAGACAAAAAAGGAATCACAGACTATTTTGATTGATTCATGGAAAAAGACATTAACAACAGTATATACATGAAAGTAAAAATCAGTTCCCAGAACAGAGTGGGTTGGAGAATGCCGGTCGGCGACCTATGCTCCACTGGGAGTAACAGGCGTAAGTAAGTACGTAAGTAGATATCAATTGAAGGACACATTTGAATATGTAAAATGTAATGATTAAAATTTAGTCCTTTGATGTTATTTCCAACAAAAGAAAGCACCATATCTGATTGTAACATTAGAATTACATACTATTTATATACAAGCACTTTGCAGCGTGAAAAACAGATTAGTAATTACAAAAAATACTTAAAAAGGGGATGTCTCAATCATATCGCAAACGAATGACTATCTTCTTTACAGTTGACTGGTGTGATTAGACCTTTACCATTTTGCCCTAATTTATCACCAGGTTTCCAACCAAGTTTTTGCAATAAACGATGACCTTTATTGGTCTACAAAACAAAACAAAAGTAATGCAAAGTACATTGTTATGGAATATTATTTAAAGGTAGAGAAAGAATAAACAGGTCTCAAAAAGCATTTATGTTTACAATGCTACTGTAATCTTTAATCGATCAAATGGTTATCACTATTTGGGGGACTGGTTGCGATTGTTCAGTTTTTCGTTTATATAAACAGATTGTCACTAGCTAAACAAGCACAGAGAACTAAAAAGCATTACTGGATGATATTTCTGTCATACCATGGGACTCATCAGCAGTGCGCATCGCGGTAGAGATCAATCGCTGGTACACTTATTAACAAATAGTGACTACAAATACTAGGCTTTCTAATGTCAGAATACGATGCCTACTTGGACGGACGATATCGTCTGTTGTGGGAGTCGGTTAGAGAAATGTAAGGGCGGTCAAACCAGAACGTGGCATCAGTTCAAGAAGTCATTACCATTTTGACTGAGTCATGTTAACAGGTGTGGACAACATGGTTGCTGTCAATGTGATTATCATAACCAGTGGTTAGGGACTTTAAGTGACGTAGCTCAGGTTTGTTTGTAATGACGCAGGTCCATCCATTAACTGTCTTACCCCAAATTCTAGTTTCCTCATAGTTTTGTTTATGTTCATATCCCACTAATTTCTATTTTCTTCTTAAATGACATATTCGATGCTTAATCTTTTCTACTACTATTGATATTGCAACTACCTCTATTATTGTAGGGTTTGATCTGACAATTTCATCTCTGTGTGCTAATGGGGTATGTCAACTTGAACTGATGTACATACATACAAGGTTATACATTGTGATTGACTAAGTGGGCAATTACCGATTAGCGTACAAAGTATGCACTTGGTAAGCGAATATCCGAACAATGTCGTGAATGGCTATCTGCGTCTTTTCTTTTCTTATTTTAAATCCAATAATGAAGGAAGTTTAGAGACTAAGAAGCAGTTGGGAACTGTTTGTTTAAGATTCTTTTGAGTACAAAACTGATCACTATTTGCAAGTTTTGAATTTCCGAAATTTAACAGAAAGAAAATAAAAGTGAAATTTACCTCGTTTAATGGTTTAGCATTGGACACTTCTGCTTTCCAATTGTCAATACATGGACGTTGATTGTTCACACAGGGAGTATGTACTTTTTTATTATGATCAGAGTCAAATTCATCAGAATCCCGTAATGACTCATTGTCACTAATCATCCATGGAGGTGTAGGCATTTGACGGTTAGATTTATCAGTCTGAGGAAAAATATCACAGAGAGAATTATATTTATAAGCTGGTTTTGTCAGTCAATCAGCTACAACGTAGGACCAGGCACACATGTGCATTGGTCCAAGTTGCCATACCTGGTCTTGTATCGGGAAATAATGATACTTTATTCATTAGTAATTGATAACAAGAAACTAGCTGAGGTATGTTAAATAAAATTAGCATAAACATTGTTATCTGATATAATAGGAAACTATTATAACGAGACGAATATCGAGAAACCTGTAATTCGTAGATCTATCCTATGAAGAATTATTGTCAAGGTGTTTATTGTATAACTCTAATAGATATCTTTGGTATGGCACATAAGGTATCATTGTACACTTTACTTTTCTCAATTCACTGTTAATTAATTATTAAGTTGCTCCTTAACTTATGGTGTAGTCATGCATATAGTGCATTTTATCATTTATGATGGTGTGTGATTAAGAAATTAATACGGATAGTATGAATTGAATTATCCAATCAAATAGAATAAAACAGAGAAGAGATGTACTTGCTAACTTTATTATCTGATTAGACACTGGGGTGGATGTAACTTGTGGTCTAATAGGAGTTAAGATTTGAAAAAACTGATTACACGGCGTTTCGTGCTAGTTGGTACTCGTCAGCGACGTGTACCTGCAATGTTGAGAAAACCAATGTGCTCCAAGGGATTAGAACCCAAGTCACCTAGCTTCACAGTCTGTTATGTTATCATAGAACTATTCAGATCACGACTGACCTCCTGTAGAACAGAGATATTTACAACTGAATAATCACTGAGTACTGGCCAATGTCAGGTTGATATTTATCGGATTCCATTAATCGAAGTAACTGAGTACTTTTAGCCACTTAACATCTCAACATAGTACGAGCTATGTTCAGTTAATTCGACTTATGGCCCATATTTTAACTTCATCAATGAAAATCAATCAGCACTAAAGGAAAAATAAACATAATATTCGTCACAAACAATTCAATTTACCGAAGTCAACATTATCGAAGAAATATTCACGACTGAAGAACATCTGGGATTTAAAACAACTGTCAATCAACACCAGTCAGGATTTTCAATACAAATGTCAACACAGTATGGAGCGGAAACTTGGAAAATGATGAAAGCCCTCATCTAGATGATACAGGTATCTATTAACAGTTGTCTACGCAAAATAGTACAGATTCGTTGGCCTAACACTATCAGCAACAATCTACTGTGGGAGAGAACAAACCAGATCCCAGCGGAGGAAGAAATCAAGAAGAAGCACTGGAAGTGGATAGGACACATATTGAGGAAAGCACCCAACTGCGTCGCGAGGCTAGCCCTCACATGGAATCCTCAACCACAAAGGAAGAGAGAAAGACCAATAACAAATTACACTGAGAAATTAAGACAGATATGAAAAGAATGAACAACAATTGGATAAGATTAGAAATAAGGACCAGGACAGAATGGGTTGGAGTATGTTAACCGGCGGTCTATGCTCTGTTGGGAGTAACAGACTTGAGTAAGTAGTTTAAGAATTTTAATGGGTTATTACTTTGATTTTTATCACTTTTTGATAATTCGATTGAAAATCTAGAAATTTTCAGATTTTACCATTTTCCCTGTATCTTTCTCTAACACTCTCATAACAAAAGTCAGTCAGTCAAAAGACGGAGGTTGGTTATGAGTACAATGGTCTTGAGTGCTGTTATAGGTATGAAGACGGTTATCACTTCTCGGTTGCCCACACCGTGGAAGGGTTCTTCTGGAGGTACCTGAAAAGGAAATTGGATTAGAGGTGGTTTTAGTGACCTGAGAGCGTGGCCGCAATGCTCAAGAGACAACCGCTTGAGGTCGGTCACACAACCATTTTGTGAGTAGTTTTCGTGTTAGCTCCGTACTTATTGAAATCTTACCGCCAGAGACGGATGTCTGTGGGATAAGGCGAGGTGTGCATTTTTAGGGTCGATCTTTTCTAACCCCACCATCCCTTGTGCGAAGCAGGGTCACTGTTATACCGGTTGTCTGAAGGAAACACCATACTGCTGTCATACCTCTGTACAGTCAGCAGTACGACTTCTCTCTCGAACCTTGGGTTCGCTGCTTTTAGTCTTACCGCTTTTCGACCGACCTGTCTGGCATGGTAGGATATTGAGGAACGATTGTTTCAGCTAGTATAGCTGGATTGGTTCATCACGATGGGCAAGCCTAGCCACCACATCAAGGTAGCAACAACGTTCGGGTCTCATAACAAAAAGTATAGTAATAATAATAAAATAACAAACAAACATAATTATTGTAAATCAAAATTTACCTTACATATTGAATCATTTTGTATATAAAATTGATTTAATTTAGATGGAAGAAATTTAATTGAATTTTGTTGGATAGATTTTGAATCCTCTTTCATTTTATGATTATTAGGTGTATTGCGTTTTTTAAAATTAGGATATCGTTTTGAATTAGATAAATTCATTGCTTTTGTATAATTTAATTTTGCTCTGTTACTTAATAATGGCCAAGTTCCCTTATTAAGATTATAAGGAAAAAAGCAAAACATAATCAAATAAATGAACATAATCATAATTTATATAAATATAGATAAATTGAAGAGATGATTGTTAGGCTAAGGAATAATATTCCTTCAAGAGTGCGGAGAGTCAACTCTCACTCTCGAAATGTTCTCACATGGCCAAGTGCATACAACCACTGCCAGGGAAGTCATACTCACTGCCTTCTCTCGGTGCGGGTGTTGTCTACGAAATTGAGAGGATGAAAAGCGAATGACAGGCGCTTTAATCGGGCTGGTGGGCACAGAGAGGAGGTCACTCTCCAAGCCTTTGACTTACAGGTCTAATCCATGAGGTAGTGGAGTAACGTTAGGAGATGTAGTTTCATAGTAGCCAGTGAACAAAAATAGGTTCATACTCTATTTTTTTTCCTTCAGGATCCCATAACCCATGTAGATCGTTGGTTGGGAATCTCGGTTGTCCCACTCCAAGTAGATCCTCCATATTCATACAAAGTTACTTTGTTATAGATTTTAAAAGCCAATAATAATATACATGAAAACTACATCACAAATTAGTATCGTCTGGAAAACTATCAGAAACTAAGGAGAACTGAAAAGATGTTTCACTCTAATATGCAACCAATCTCTTGCTACTAATCTTTACAACTTGCATTGATTATTTTCTATCCGTCTCGGTACTTCCATGTGGAAAAACAATTAAAGAAAAAAGAATGGAGAGATAAAATACCTGATCTTACATGTAAAAGATTAGCCAGTTCCGGATCAACAGGTTCATCTAGAGTTGAATTAGTTGAATCATCTAACTGATATTTTGAATTGAACGGATCAACAACTGTTTTACAACGATTGTTATCTGTTATGATAGATGGTGATTTGATGTTTTTTTGAATAGTTTTTTTATTACGACAAGTCACATTCATCATATCAGTATCACAAGTGTTCTGATGTTCTGGTATAGAGGTGAATCGATGTTTGTATACAATGAAACCTTCGAAATATGAAAAATAACATTACAACTGTAAATAATTAACCACTAAATATAGACTGGGGAGTCTGAGGAAACGTTAATTCAAACTGGATCATTGTTGATTCATAATGGTGGAGTTTAAAAGAATATATAGGATGAAACAATCATTCACTAATAGCTAGTTTCCAAAGATTAATCAGATGTGAAATGATTCTTGTATTTAAAAATAGATAATCTTGGAATACATAAAAGAAACACTTTTGTGTATGATAAACACAGAGAAATATTTAGTTACGTTAAGTCAACATTAAGGTATAGTTGGACAATAAATAGCGAATTACAGCTGAATTTATTATTTCGAGACAAACTAAATATAGACTTGTAAGCAAAGATGGATGGTGACTAGCAGTGAAATCCATGATGCGCGTTTCATCCTATTTGGGACTCGTCAAAAGGATGTACCTGCATCTTACTGTTGATGTTCACTCCGGGACTCGAACCCAATACCGTTCGTTTCAAACGCCATCGCGTTATCCATTTAGCTACTGAGTCCTGATAGCCACTAGCTTGTGCTCCAAATCACGTACACTAACAGATATGCAATATAGTACTATTTCAGCACAAGATAAAAGAAAACTATCATAGCACATAACCACTAAATTTTATGCTATAATACAGTTGATAGCATCTGTCAATGTGGCTGCCAGGGTCAGTGTTATTGATTTGTTTGACTACATTAAAGATTCATGTACTAGTTATTCATCTACCTATTTTAATTTGTCTTGTTAAAATTAGCTCAGTTCGTTGTCGTTTGTTATATCACAAGTGTCAACAGATGGTGAGGAAATATTTAATAGAGAACATATCTTGAGATTCTGTACTATTGATACGAATTTTAAGTAAGTATTCTGACTTGCAGTTGTAATAAATCCCGTATCGTGCGACTAACTTGTTTTAACATCACCAAGTGGTAAAAGAATTACAGGGATCATCTTATGTATCTCGCATATTGATCAGACCTAATATACTTATGGAAACATTTTATTATCATTATAATTGTTAGAGGTCATCCAGCGAGAGTTGGACGTCAATATTATATATTTTAACGTAAAAATGGCATAATTCATTTTAAAGAGTCATGTTAAACACCAGAAACGGTATTTACGTAGGGAAAAAAGATCATTTCAGAATTTGACCAGTATAATATACTGTTAAATGTAGCCAAATTAAACAACATAGGTCTTTTAAGATTGTTTTGATTACTGAATAATACAACTACTTTAGTAATAATAATAATAATAATAATAATAATAATAATAATAATAATAATAATAATAATAATAATAATAATAATAATAATCCCCCTCATATAACCTTAGAACGGTTGACCAATATCACGTGCCAAGTCAACAATCAAAATCCCAATTTTAATTTGGTCCATTTCGCGTCTCGTTTTTCCTCGATAGTCTAGTGTATCCAAACCCGCCAATCACACTCCTGACAAGAACTATTAATCTTGAGCCAACAGCTAAGTTCTAATAAACCCATCACAAGCTGCTCTCTATGCCCTGCCTTGGGTCAACAAGCAATTTCCACTATAATTATTTCTCAACAGAAATGGTTTATATACAGACATGCAGGAACGTATCACATCACGAAATGAAAAGTAACAATTATACCTGAACAAGCCAAAAGTGGCTCTAAATGAGAGAAAAGGTGAGTAATGGAGTGGTAACAAATTAGGAATAGTAAGTCGTATGACTAGCTAATGCGTCAACAGAAAACTTATGATAAACAGAATACATAGACACAGTAATGTAGCTGCTTAATAACCATACAATAAGGATATATGTTCAGTTTGGGGTTATGGTGATAGTGGCATTTCAATAAAATCATGAACCGATAAATGTTAGACCACCAGTGAAAATCTGGAAGCACTGGACGGCCGTTTCGTATCAGTGAACATCCACGATCCCGCACGTGAGACTCGAACCCAGGACCCGTCTCACGCGCGAACGCTTAGCCTCTAAATCACTAATCCAGAACCCAATAATGTACAAATCTAACTTCAATCAATCCGCGATATTGAAAACTGCCGGGGATTCCCATACTAGGGAGAAAGCCATTCCAATATTTCCAGGTTTCCAATGGTTGTCTAACTTCGATCGATTCGTGATCTCAAATAAACTCAACAATCTCTACAAACTCATACTGATAACATTTTTATCATTTTGCCAATCCAGTCTTACTGTGTATTATTTCCAAGTGGAATGACACACTGTTAAACTAGTAGTGCACAGTATCCTCGATGTTAAACCGTTTACGTATATTAAATAGTTAAATAATATCAAAATGTATAGAAGATTAACTGGGTAAATAAGGCTGTAGAAATTAACTTGATAAAATATATTTGAATATACCTTTCGAACGTTTCTCATCGGATGATTCTTCAGTTGACAATGATGAACTAGACGAAGAATGTGAGCCATTTTTGATACAACTTTTATGACAGATATGTCTAATAGAGGAATAAATGATAAATAATAGCAACGATAACATTTTTTCAGTAACAATAAATTTTTTAGAGGTTCCATACATGAATTGTAGATATCTATGGATACTCAATGACGGTGTTAGTGAATACTTATTAATAATTGATTTATTCAATAATATATGTTCTCTATAAAATAAAATTTCTCGTTAAAGCCTGCGTAATAGCCATAAACTATGGCTGCATACATTGGATGACAACTCAAAGTCAGCCACAATGGTACGGTAGTATCCATTCGTCATATTCTACTGCATTTGAGGCTGAGTTATTTCATACTTTTTATTTGCCTGTGATGCTTTCTAGTTGCCTGAACTGAAGGAATTGGACAAGGATTTGAATCTGTGACCTGTTAGTTGAATGTTTACCATTTACACTACCATATCATCCAGGTTACTTGTGGTACTGTGTGATGTGGGTTCGAACCCCGAGAGTGACATTACAAATGCGCCCCATAAACGGGTATCAACTAAGATAAAACGTCTAAGACTCTGGATTCTTATCGACTACGTCAAACTATCTAAGGGAGAGAGAGAGCAAAAGCAAAGAAATATGAAGAGTAACATGGATTCATTTTATGTGGCTAGGTTCTCATTAGCAGTTTACAACCTGTCATATTTTAAGATCTAAATTACCGTTAAGCTTACGAATTTGGGACAGTAAAATTGGATACTTATCATCATGGTGGAGTAATGAAAGTGAAGACACCCAGTGTTGGAAATAAATGTAATACCTAAGTGAAGATTCTGGATCATCAGACATAGTAACAAGGGATCATATAGCTAAGATAACTAATTGGTTACGTAATGAAGTAGTTGGACATAAATTAATTGCAATTAAGAATGATATGAGCTGAGATCAGTTAGCTAAAAATAAAACTATGAATTTAAAGGAAATGATACAGTCAAAGTAGGAGAAAAAATGCAAGAATGACGTAATGAGCTGACGATAAGGTCACCATGGTAAAGAAGGATTCGCAAGTGTCTCCTTTTAGATAAATAAATCCAACTTGAAGCGTTTGATAGTTATGGCTTCGGCAAATTTGAGAAGCATGTAAACACTACGATAATCTTGATTCTAAAATATTATAGGTTATAAGCAACTGATGAGAACCTAACGACATAAAATGAATTTATGTCATTCTACTTAATTCTCTGTTCTTGCTCTCCTTAAAATAATACAGGGAACTAAGCGTATGAAATTCTTTTAAATTTTGAATAAATATATATTTAAGTGAGAGATAAACACAATTGAATATTATACACTCGGCAACAATAGTAGAAAAATGTATATACTTACTCTCCATGTTTATCATCAGTAGTATCACTCTTATTTCGCGGTCTACACTTGCATTTCTTGTTACGACGACCACGGCGACAATGATTTGTATCAGATGATGACGAGGCTAACATACCACTGATAGTATTTCTTTTAGTTTGTTGATAACTAGATGAGATAACCGGTGATAACCTAGACGATGAATGTTCACAATATAATCCAGTTGTATTATGTAAGTGTATTGATGTTAATCGTGGAATTTTAATATTTATTGACAGGCCGTCCGATGAATCACCGCCACCACCGCCTCCCCAGAAGCATGATACACAGTATCCATTGGTCTCCATAATTCATAAGAATGTTTATCGAGAATAGATGATTTACGTCTACTAATTCTTGTCAACGATCTACCACCTTTGAAACAGATTAAGTCACCATGATCTGCATCTTCAATGTCAGCATCATGTGACGAAGCATCACTCTCAGAATTATTATCTGATGATCCAGTGATTGAAAGCATTGACGATCCTGAAGAATAACGTCCCACGGCTTCAATATGATCGGAGCTTAGTGATTTATACAACATAGGATTTGAACAAGAAAAGGGTGGGATTGGTTTAGTTTGTAAATTTAAAGCATCTATCGATACGGATACATGCTGTAATGATTCCATGTTTGATGATGACGATGATAATAATAACGATGATGGTGGTGATTGCACAGGTTTCAAACAAACAGCCGTGGAATGTTCCAATTCCATGATTGTATCCAGTTCAATTTTATCCGGTTGCCATTTACGTTTTGAACCTGTTGTAATAGATTGGCTAAGATATAAGAAAATAGGCAGGAAATAAAGAGATATTAGGGAAAAAAATATTTTTCGTTAAAAATTGTTTTATAACGGTTGGCTGCATAGATCAAACATATCGACAATCAGTTAGATAAGTCATTCAATTATAGGAACCACAAGTCAGCATAGAGGATGGAGGACGTTGACAAAATGTACACGAAGAGTTAGTAATCTTTTTCCATTGCGAACTTGATGTCATTGAAAACGTTGTTGATCCGTTTGTAAGTGTTTTCCAGTTCACTCTTTTTGACGATGACGAATGTGTCGTCTATATAGCGAATCCAAATTTTTGTCTTGATTACTCTAGTGCTGCAAAGAATTCCAGTTTTGAGGCGTCGCTTGTACTTTAGTTTAATCCCTTTCGGAGTAGGTGTTCCTCCGTATTCGTTAGTGGTTGTTTCGACAGATTGATCACGCAGTTGTTTGTGTTTTCTCCCATGGGTGGTTTTGAGATCTTGATTAGTTTTTTCTTTAAGATGTTTCTTCTTTGTTCTCTGCGTCGTTTGCATGATATCTCGATGGCTGTTGACAAGATTTCCAAATGTTCTGACGTGAGTGTCCTTTGTAGCTTCATTTTTTGGTCCTCTCTGGCGTGTTGGTATTTGCGGATCCTGTAGTGTGCATCCGTTATTATTATTATTAATGGCTTTATTCATTAGGTGTACAGGAGTCAAACAACGAACTAGCATTCTTGGATATATTGGTCACTAGGACCGACACAAGAAAAATGGAAACTCAAGTGTATAGGAAACCGACCCATACGGATCAAATTCTCAACTACAATAGCAACAACCCAAAAGCTCACAAAATCAACTGCGTACACACTTTGTACAAGAGGGCGAGGACACACTGGCAGCACGAAAAAATGAAGAGCAATACCTGAAGGACGTATTTCAAAAGAACGGCTACCCAATCAACTTCATCAAAAAATACCAACTGCGCGCAGCATCAGAACTCAAGTCAAGCAGAGAAATCAACAAAAGGATCGCCCTACCATACATAAAAGGCATATCAGAAACCACAACGAGACTGCTGAAAACCTTCGGGATAGGTGTGGCACACAAACCGACAAAATCACTACAATCAATCCTATGCAAACCAAAGGGTGAAATAACAAAGGAAAACAAATCAAACATCATCTACAAAATAAATTGTGCCGACTGCGAAACACACTACATCGGACAAAGCGGACGCCCCCTTCACCTTCGCCTACATGAACATCAATTAGCAGTCAAACGCCATGATATCTCCTCACTTATATCAATACACGTGGACAACTACGGACACTCATTCGATTGGAAAAATGTAGAAATCTTAGACAGAGGAAATTCCAAAAGCACCAGAGAATTTTTAGAAGCCTGGCACTCAGGTCAATCAGCAATCAACAAAAATCAAACCAGTGGGAGACACAACCGAAACAAAGAAGTAAACAATGACAAATTTAAGGTCAATAAGAACCAATCAACATCGAGGTGTACAGAGCAAGCTGTGAAACGCATATGGAGAAGTTCGAACACTTCACTTCTATCTGAAGTTTGTGCTGATGATGTCGTTCAGAAGAACCATGAAGCTCCACGACCAAACCATCCAGCTCACAGAACAAAAATCCATCAAAATCATCCACCTGAGCTACAAATCTTCTCCATCATCTCAAAATCATATGGTTAGTTATATTAGATGGAATGGGAAATAAAACGTGAGATATCTAAATCAGAAAAGGAAAGATTAAAGAATGATTTGACACGATAGTCAACTCAAGATTTTAAGATAGAGAACGAATGAAAGTGTGGCACTGAAGCTGGGGTTAGGCCACGGCATCCAACGTCTCTAACCTAATAGTCCACATCTACTAAGATGGCCCAAAGCAACAAGTAATGACTTAGTAAACTTGTGAAATAATACCATTTTTATAGTATGAAAAGCATAATGACAAAATCTTAACTGCTTTTTATCCGTATTCATATCTCGAAGTGAGATACATTATCTATAAGACTATATTAGGAATCAGGAGTTGTCAGTGCATGGAAACCCAATACAACTACATTGTCATAAATTCAATTCTTTTTATCGTTTCCATTAAGCTCCCAAATTACCAAATAGTGTTCAGTCTGGATAGATAAAACTTGAATATCTGAAAGACTACTCCATTCCGTTATGTTGCTTATAAAAAATCCAAATACTATGACGAGGACTTCACCAATGTATAGTCAGTCAGTCAGTCAGTAACAACGTAGAACTTCGTACGTACATACGTCAGTTCAAGTTGCCACACCACATTAGCACAGAGATGCAGTTGTCGATTCAAATCCCGTAGTGCTAGATATAGTAAAATTATAAGCTGTAATCAGAAAAATTAGGGTTTGAAGATGTTATTCAAGGAGTATAATACAGTGAAATAAATTTGGAAAGAGAAAAAAGAAAAGGACATGAAGAATTCAGAAGATTAGAATTTGGGAGAACACAAAGAGTGGATGCACCTGCGCCATTACAAGTGATTTAGAGCCATGTCATTCAGGGTCTCTAACCATCGATTGCTATCATCTCGCGGTCCACAACCAGGTAGTCTACACCTACCAACATGTCTCAGTCCACTTTTCAGTGACTTCATGAACTTGTACCATGTGGATTCATGTTAAAGTAATCAAGACATCTGAAAAATGAGAAAATGTAGGTGCCGGTCAAAAAACATGACGTACGCAGCTTGACTAACAGTTATTTGGTACGATAATGTAGATCTCTTTACAAGCTATAAAGTTAATACTGCCTTATACCTTGAAACCCGATCCATGTGTCGGGTAGCCAGAAGAATATAAGCGCTAGATATATGGTGCGAAATCTGATATTTTGGTTAAGTATATAAACGATAAATATATATGGACTGATAGGTCTGACATTTTAAGGAAACAGGGGTCCCTCAAAAATAATAAAATGAGTGGCATGACATTTCGACTGACTGTACAACATAAAGTAAAAAGAGGCTCACCGGTCGTTCAATATAGATTCTGATTCAGTTCTGTTCCTGGATTTTGCGTGTCTGGTACGAAAATGTCGATACTGTCTATCGGGATTAAGGCTTGCAGTCAAACGAGCAACTCCATGACTTAAACGTGAAATGGCACGTGCAGTAACAGGATCGTGACGAAGTAAACAATGATGGTTAGAATTTGGTGAATTCATGAATATGATCTAGTAATCCACGTGGTATTTATCAAGACCTAGGAAACGTAATAGGATTAAAAGTAATACAACGACAAACATTTAAAGATGGTGCAAACACACTATTACACATCTTTAGGCGATAAAATATACTATGCAGTTCAGACAGACAAAGTTATGCACAGAGCAATATAGAGGCATGTCAAATAACACTTTAACAATCAGTCAGTTACAAACAACGTATGGACGTATGTTCATTGCTTTAACATTTTACACTCTATCCAGATAATGGGACGAAGTTGGTCTGATGGATGGGAAAGAAGTTGGAACTACAGCAGAAATAATGATGGTAAGAACCAAAAGTCGAGAATGTGACTCCGAAAGACAGGAAAAAAGGTATGCAATAATATTAAAATATAGGGACTGGGAAAAGAAACTGAGCAACTCACTGGTACTACAAATAAATTTTAGCTATATCATCCAACGTTTCCAGCCACAGGTCAAGATGATTGCGAAGACACTAACTAGGTAGTCAGCAGCTGGTAAATTTATGAGACGATGAGACAACAAGGTTTGGACATTCATAGATTTTTTCAAATTGCTACACAAGTACGTATTGTATGATTCGAGAGAAACAACTGTCATTTCATGTCTCCACATTTAAAATCAGTACAGTGAAGAGTGATCCGATGGAAAAGTTACACTAAAACAATGACTACAATAGTAACAAATAATTAAGAGACAAAAAGAGTGAAGATGGAATAGCACAACATACCACTATTCACGGAATAAGATGTAAGGAATAATATGGTCATTAAGAGTTACATTATGTAAAAACACTAATACACCTTACTCAATGTGCTGTTTGAAAAAATTATGAGGGATCAGCGACACAACGACAAAACAAGCTAAACTATCCCGATGTGTCCCAGCCCTGCTAACTAGAGGGAGAAGACCCGGTTCAGACGAAAGAGCATCACACAAGCACTCAGAAACAATACAACAACAAGCACACAACGTAATCGCATATATGCAGCATAAAAATGTCCTTAAAAAACGTCACAAAGTATTATATTAAAAGAGGAAACGAACCGATGACATTTAGAGTACTTCCAACTGGGAAATACAATCTGAATGTGAAAATAGGCACATTTGAAGTAAAAACGAGAAATTAAAAATTCCATAATCAAAATACAAAAATAAGACGTTTTCAAGTGATTTTTGGGGATCTAGCATCCCGAACAACATGACTAAATTTTCAAATATTCATCCAAGTGTCCAGAGACAGATTTTTGATTATTTGGAGGATTCCTCTATAAAGTCCAATTCAAATCAAAATTAAGGAATTTTGTTCGCGAACTCCAATTCTGAATGTTGGTATGAGATTCTAGAGCTTGATGTATGTAAAAACAAGATTCTTATAGATACCACAGAGAATAGTCACTAATCAACGATACTACTATTTCGAATCACTGATTTACCAAGTTTGTTGATCATTGGAAGCATTTTAATATCAAATCTAAGACATCTACACAGTGAGTTTTGTAGAAAAATTGCCTTACTAACGGAATGGAAAATCATACATAATGTGCATGTGAATAATCACAAGTTGGGTATAAACTGCAACATTGGATGACTGGGGTCAAGGAAATTAAAATGGATTTCCGGACAAACAAATTTAAAGGGTCATAGATAGTAAAAGTGTTGACTTGTGTTTCGTTTACCGTTGCAGTTGACGACCGAAGTCTTAGAACAAAATATATCTAAGAAATGTCTCTGGAAATTCTAGATATACTTTAAGAAATGTTGTCTCCATCTTATCAGATATGATGAGTGTTATAATAGGAAATGTATGAGTGGAAAACGCTGCAGCTATACGAGTTAACTGAATTGTCCTGGTGCTATATATCAGTTCCGTCAAACGACGGCAACTCTTATTTTAAGATATAACACCCTGAGGTGCCCAACACAAAAAATGAAACTTTGATATTATTTACCAGTAAGGTTTCCCAGAAAAAAGCAATTACGGTGACAAAGGCAACAAGTAACAGGGTAGATATGTGATTTACAGCTCACTTTGATTAAAAGTAAGCATTCTGTATTGAGAAAAGGAAATAAACGATTTTTCGTAAATATACGAGAACTTCAAATGGTTCAAATGGTTGTGGACGGAATAGAAGAAGCTTTCGCTAACAGGCTTCCGTGTCTAGTAGCAGGGGATGACCAAATCCTCCAGGCAGGAACCTAGGTATGTTAACAATAAAAAGGAAAAGAAATTGGTAATAATCCTACGTAGACTCGAAGTGCTAACACAAACCGCTAGAAACTTCAAAAACTTTTCAGTGGCTGAAATCTAGTCCCTACATGGAATGTTGCTGTGTGCAAAAAGCAATAAATTTGTGGAGGACCGATTATAATCAGTCTGTTGTGGTCAGAATACTATCCGAGAATAAAATCTCGTTACTGAAGCGTACATCATTCTGGTGAGATACTGGAGAATCCCACATGCATTAAGACGAAAGCAGACTTCTCTGTGGAAACACAGCTGATAAATAGGCAACGCTCCTAGGGTATCGTCCACTGTTGGGGATTGCGAGCACTTGAAGGTCAAACAGTCACAAAATGATTGGTGCATCACATCGACAATTCGTGAAAATTTTCAGAAGCGGTCAAATCAAGACATTTTTAGATTTGAATTGAGTTCAGCCACACCATGTCTGGTAACGTCCATTCTTCAAGTAACGAACACGATGCCATCGTGATGATGCATGATATAGGACGAATCTTCAATGATACTATGTTATCTCGAAGATTTACAAGTTGGGACAATTTTGAGACCTGTTTGAAAGAAGTACATAAGGTAATGTGACTTTCAGTTTCAGTTTCAGTTTGGGAAGGACAGGAGGCTCGATGGCCTATGTTAGTCCTGGCAATGGTGGTCTCTCAGTTGATCCAACTTTCTTTTGAAAGAGTCGACGGATGGAGCCTCAACCACGTGCTGAGGTAGTGAATTCCACTCGTTGATGATTCGATGGGAAAGTCGATAGTCAGCTGACAAGTAATTTGTTCTCGGCTTATGAACTTTTTTGGAGTGTCCTCGTAAATTCTCTGTTTTGGAAGACAAGAAAAATGAGGGCATGTTAGGTGCAAATTTATCACTAAGCAATTTGTAGACTGTAATCAAGTCGCCTCTAGTTCTGCGATATGACAACGGGAAAAGGTTCAGCTTGGCCAGTCGAGATTCATACGGAAGCTTCGCTATTCCGGGAACCAGCTTAGTCGCCGTTCTCTGAACCTTTTCCAGAAGCTCACTGTCTTTTTTAAGCAGGGGCTAGCCGCTTGTATGCAGTACTCAAGTTTAGGACGAACGAACACTGTATACAAAGTCAAAAACGTTTAGCGTCGACATGACTAAAAGCCCTACGTATTGACCATAACGTTCTAAAACTTTGGCGGCTATTGCACGGCAGTGTGCAGTAGTCTTTAAGTCTTGACTAACGATAACTCCTAAGTCATTATATGTCTGGACGACAGGTAGCTCAGTGTATGTATCTGTGCCTTGATGACCGATATGCATCACAACACACTTGGAAGTATTTATCGGCAACTGCCATGTTTGAGACCATTCAGATAACTTCTTCAGGTCATTTTGAAGTTCTAAGCTATCACTCTTACATCGTATCGTTCTCCATATCTTGACATCGTCAGCATATAGCAAGACCGATGATGATAGGAGACAAGGAAGGTCATTTACATACAAGAGGAATAGCACTGGCCCCAAAACTGTACCCTGGGGCACTCCACTAAGCACAGTTTCCCAGCTAGATAACTTTGAGTTCACCCTTACTCTTTGTTGACGCCCAACTAAGAAGTCTTTTATCCACATCAATAAATTGCCTCCAATCCCGACTTTTCTTAACTTATATAACAGCCGGTTGTGCGGAACTTTATCAAAAGCTTTACTGAAATCAATGAAGGCGACGTCTACAGGTAGCTTTTGGTCCTTAAGAGCGCACCAGCTTTCACGAGCCACTAATAAGTTAGTGAGACAAGAATAACCTATTCTGAAGCCGTGCTGCTTCTCCGAGAGGATCCGGTTTTTATCGAGATACTTAAACAGCTCCTTCCGAATAATCTTTTCTAAGATTTTAACAACCACACTAGTTAGGCTAACGGGGCGGTAGTTCTCAGGTTTGTGTTTCGTACCTGTTTTGAAGACAGGACTTACTATGGCGTTTTTCCAATCTTTCGGTAAGCGACCCTGCGTAACGGATAGGTTAAAGCATGTACTTAAAGGGCTTGCAACGAAGTTAGATAATTCCTTCAGTAGCCTAGGATGTAATTCATCGGGCCCCGTGGATTTACCTATGTCAAGCTTATTTAGCAGACCAAAGACATCGAGTTCTTTAATGGTCACGCTATCCAGTGTATGTATGGGGGGATCTGTATACGCTGACGAGAAGGGCGCTTCTATGGTATATACGTTGCTAAAGTAGTTCGAGAACGCTTGAGCCTTACCAAAGTCGTCCTCCACTAATGATGAAGCAGTACTGTCTCCCCATAGAGCAGGAATATTTCCTTTTCTCCTTGTCCTTTGGTTTATATAGGAATACAAGCGTTTAGGACATTCTATGGATTCCTTAACAAGTTTTTCTTCGTACAATTTTCTAGACTTACGGAGGGTCGAGGCACAAGTGTTCCGAGCCTTTCGATACTGAGATTTTGACTCATCAGTCCCCAGTAACCTAAATCTATCCCACATTTTCCTTTTCTTACGGAGAAGGATACGGACCTCCCTACTGAACCATGGTGGTGAGTTTTTCGGCCCCTTTGGTATAGTCCAAGGGATGTGAGGTGTGGTAACTTTTAATTTCGAAATGCGTCCCAGGCCGTTTCAATGGAGGACTCTGGGTCTATTGTCCAATCTATTAACGATGCTGAGTGCATGATGTCTGGTATGTTTGCTTTCCAGACGTTGGGTCTGGACTGGACTGACGCGTCCTCATGACTGGCAGTTATAT